GGACATGGACACCACCCCCCCATCCCTCCCCAGCTCCTTACTTGGGGCTGCAGGGCCGCTTCCCATACTCAGTGAGGCAGTGAAGGTGAAGGTGTTGCTCACTGTTGTGCTTAAAGCAGACATCGGGAGCCACCTGGGCCTCTGTGGGATACAGGGAAAGGGCCATGCAGAGCCAGAGGCCACAGCAAGCCGGCAGCGCTGGCACCAGTGGCCATGCGTTAGGGTCAGCAGCCATAGCACGCCAGCTAGGGATGCAGGAGGGGACCACAGCGAGCAATGCCCTGGCCCAAGGAGCTGGGGCTCCAGGCACATCACCCAGCACATGGGGCCAGGGGATTGAGCAGGGTGGGGGAGTAGCTACCTGCACCCCAGAGCGTGCGGCACTGCTCACTGTGCGAGGGGCAGGCCCCGTTGTAGCAGTAGCCGTTGCCGTTCTGACAGGAGATGCCATTCTCCTGGAAGACGTCCTCTGGGCACTCAGCGCTGAGGCCAGTGCAGTGCTCGGGCAGGTCGCAGTCGTTCTTGCTGGCCCGGCAGAGTGCCCCGGCAGCCTTCACCTGCATAGAAAAGGGGATGTCGGCACCACCTCAATGCTCTCGCATCCCCAGATCCATGCAGGCACCACAGCCTGGCAGCACCCTGGTCTTCAAAACACCTCCCAGCACCCCACAGAGCCAGACACGGCAGCTTGTGCTGCTCTGGCACAAAGACATTTGCTATTGACTGAGCTAATGCACGGAACGGAGACGTGATCAGGCCTTGGCCTGGCTCTTCCCATAGTTAAGTCTCTCCCTGAGGGCAAAACCTTGTGCTTTGCGTTTAGTCTGGACTTGCCCAGGGCCCTCCTCCAGCTCTGTCTCGTCACATCAAGACATTTCTTATGCCTGTGTGCAGGAACCAATGCACACAACTTTCTCTCAGACAAGTGGAGCAGAAGAGGCAGGTTGGCTTCCCAAAACAGGAATGGGCCACGCTGATCTCTTCTGAACACCATTGTTCTTCAACACCTTTCATCCTGCACCTAACCTAACAGAGCCAGGGGACCTGCTCTCCAGGATGCCAGAAACAGAGGCCACTTCACCTTCCCAACCGCTTCCCACCCAAGATGCTGACTGCCCACGTAGTGAGAGCACCAAATGGAAAACGTGCTTCCCCCCAAACCATTGAGTGCGTTTGGCTCCGGGCAGGCTGCTATAGAGGTCCTCCAGGCTCTCCAGTGGGGACTATAGACACAGCTCGCCTCTGCCGGGAAGCCCCAAGGAGCCCGGGGCAGGGGTGTGCGCCTGCCAGCCCCCCTTCCCCGCCAAGCTGGTCCCCCCGCGGCGGCGGTACCTTGCAGTCCTGGCAGCAGTCCCCCCGGGCGCACTGGGCTCCTTCTCTCAGCTGGCAAGTGGTGGCGTTACAGCAGCGATCGGAGCACTCCTGCGAGACAGGGAGGGACTGAAACCCTCCCGAAAGCCCCCCCAAAAGATTCTTTCCTTCCTTTCTGGGGGGACTCAGTTGCCACATCACCAGGTGCCAACGACAGCATAGCCGCCATGGGCTGAACCATGGGGCAAAACCACAGCATCATCCCAGGTGGGAACCATTCCTGCCACCTCTTTACCCCCATTACTAACACCAAACCAAAGGACCAGAAGAGGTTTATCAGAAGATGAGGCCTGACCTGGGCCCCTGCTCTCTGGTAGCACCCTTTGCACACCTCCAGGAAGGAGAAAGCAGGAGGATCTCTGTGCTCTCTGCATCGGGGGAGCATCCCTCTAGGTCTCAGGGCTGTGACCCAGGGATTTATCCCAGAGGCATCGCCTGGCCGTTTGTCCAAATCTCCCCCTGCAATGCAGTGGTGGGCCGCAAGGGATGAGGAAAAGCTGAGCACAGTTCTTGAAAGGACAACGTGCCATGATGTTCCCCTCTTTGGATCACATCTTTGGAGACTACGCTAGTCCATCTTTCCTAGGCATGCTCCTGCTAAAATCACAGCCAGCTACATGAAGAGGGGACATACATCCAAGGGAATGAATATCCTCCACAA